GGTTGGAAATTATAGTCATTCTAACTTCCAACTTATGAACAAATCTAAAAATTAAACATAAAAATGATATCTTTTGGAATTTTTTTAGATGTAAATGAAATAATTGAAATAGAAAATAAATTTGAATCCAAATAATAGATATTAAACATTATTGAACTTTCTGTGTAAATATGTATCAATACATTTCATTTACACTGATTGTAATATATATTTAAAGAAAAAAAATTTATACTTGTTATACCAAAAAAAAAATCTATTGTAAATTAATTATAAATATTATGATTTTTGATAGAAGACAACAAAATTATATTCATTAATTTCTAAATTCATTTATTAATTCGATTATGAAATAAATATTCGAGACATTACAAAAGTTTGTCGAATTCTTTTTTTTTTTTTTTTATATCATCATATGTTGTAATTCAAAAAAAAGATCATTTAATTAGATATATATATACACTTTTGATACAACTAATGACAATTCATATATAAATTAAAAGAAAATTAAAGTTCTTCTAATTTCAACGTTTGAGCATGCATTTCAACAATATGGCGCACCATCATATTATTCCTCTCACAGAGTTTCATATCCAGACGAATAGCAAGAGGGAATCGAAATTCTTGGCCACCACGTTCTCCTCAATTTCAGACAAACCGTTTCATATGTCAAATCAGTGTTAGAATTTTGATAGATAGTCGTGATATATAGACATTTGTTCTTTTGTGTTCTTAATACTCGTGATGAACGATAAGGAAATATATTATTGCTTCTATCGTTAATTATTAGGTAAATAACTTAGTATCGTTTATTTTATTAGTTGAAAATTTTAAGATTATTCTCATACGCTTTAACGATTTATTACAAGAAAAGATATTTTTCTCACAAATTTTTGACATTCAAAATGCCAAACTTTTACTTTTTGATATTAATCTTTAAATAATGGGCAACAATTATTTACATACAATTATGTAAATCGAAATTTTAATTTGATAATAAAGATTTTTATTTATGTATTATTTTTTTCTACGTTATATTTGTATTGAATATATAATAAATAAAATTATTATTCATTATCGGTTATTGAATTAATGATACTTATAACTCGTTTATCACGTTTTCTCAAGGCTTTCCACTTTTTCTTCTTTCCTCGTAGATTTTTGCTTTTTTTAAATGACCCTACATTTTCATAATTAATTACAATTTTCATGATTCATTCAATTTTTAAAATAGCGATAATAAGAATCGAGCGAGTTTGCTTTCGACTTACTTCATCCGATTCATTATACCTTGAGTTGTAAAAGTGTTGTAAATAACTGAAGAATTGTCACGTTTACTTTTACATCAATTTGCTACTAAACAATTATTGCGAATACAGAAATAGAATAAGAATATGGCACACGTATCAACATTCCTATAATTTTCTCAAACCAGAATTAATTAACTCATGTGTCAAATTTTATTTTTCAATTTCATTCTTATATATCACATCAAATTCAATTAAACTCAAAACGCAGAACGTGTAAAATGCGCGTCCTCTTTTCATCATCATCGTGGAAATATCTAAATGCATCCAAGCGTTCCATTACTGCATCTTTTGCTAATCGAGCAGATTAGGTTTGAGAAATTGTTTGAATCGGGAATAATCTGCACGGTGTGAAAACAGTGATGCAAAGAGGCGAAACCATATATATGTTCGTGAGCAACGTGAATTTACTATAGGAGATTGCTTCAACGGTTTCGGCTATTACGTGGCTTAAGTTAAAACCGGTGTAAATTTTAATGGGATCATAACGCGACGAGCAAAATGGTCAAACTTTTTCTATCGTCCAGTTAGCCGACGAGTTTATAATATCGACCAACTTTTCTCGTTCCATATTAATAACAAATGAATATAATATGTTGTATTACGTTATATTAAATGAAAACTGTACAATATTTGGATGGAAAGGGTAATAAAAAATAATATCTTTTAATTTATTAAGACGTTTAAATATGTGTGCTTTCATAGAATGTTAATATATTCGTGGAGCATTGATTAATTTAGAAGAATCAATTTCTTAAAAATAGAAACATAAAGATTGGTATGCAAATTATTAAGTTATGAGCATTTATTGAAATTCGCATTAGATAAAGCGAGATGAAAATAACATTATTCCTATTTTTAACTGGCATAAAGTTGAATAAATTATTTGTAATTTGATATAATAAAGTATAAATGAAGTAATCGTTGTTTTTGTAGATTTATAAACTTTTATGATTCTATATATTTATTATTCGTTGATTTTAATATTGTTGACTTTGGTATGACAAGTGGTTCGAATAATTTATTTATATCTAACTTAAAATAATAAATGGGATTATAAGTTATATTTGTTGAAATCAGTTTATTATTAATATTTTTAAGAAAATTATAAAATTATACGTGAAAAAAAGAACAACTTGTTAAAGAAAAAGATTTATCTTAGAAAAAAAAAAATATCATCACTTTAATCCTCTTTAAAAATCTTATTATCTATAATAAGGAAATTTTCTATCGGTTTAGCAATAAGAAAAATAAATAGCTGGGAAAATTGTTGATCCTGGTATATAAATAATTTCAAGTAACTCGTGAACCACCGTTTGTCATAAATTCATTTTATGAGACTATTATTTTAGATCAAACTTAGTTAAATATAATATGATAGGACAAAACAATAGAAGACTTGATATATTTGAATTAAAACAAGAAAATTATTATGCAAATTCTTCGTTATAGAAATTATATCGAAAAGAAAGAACAAAATCTTATTTAAATCTTTGTTTGTTTTGAATTAAAATTTATAACTAATTCTTGATTAGATACGAATTAAATATTAATAATGACAATAGATTTCACATGTAAAAATATAATTTTATTGTTTAAACTCTTTTTTTCAGAAAATCGAAATTGAACGTCAAAAAGTAACTTTCAAAAGAAAAAATTTATTTTATTTCATTTTCATATAAAAATTTTACCGATAATTCATTCGTATTTAATCAGGGCATATTCACTTTCACTTGTGTACTCGATAATTTTTTTAGGATTTAATTTATTCGAAGATGAAGTCTGAAATAAAAAAAATTTCACTCCATATTTTTGACTTATTATTTCACGTAAAATTATTCTCTCCGTGGAATTATCTTTCTTAATATTTTATGATGGATATTACAGGGAATATTCAAACCAAACAAATCAAAGTTAGAAAGGAAGAATTTAGAGGATGTCGATAATGCAATTTATAGACAGAATTAGAAGAGACGCGTTTGAAAAATCCATTAAGATGAACTTAATCGATTTCCAATTCAATGGCTCTGAGGAAGAGAAAAATACTTTTCATACTTGGAAATTTTTCAAAAATTGGATTTGAGATTAGTAATCGAATAAACAAATTTTATTTTCTTTCGATTTATTTTCTCGTCGAGGAATCATTCTGGTTAAACGACGAATAACAGAATATCCTTCATATTGAATAGATTCTAATCTAAATACAATAAATTTTGAAGTTATAATACAAGAATAAAATCGAAGGATAAGATCTAAACGTGAATTGATCTTGACAAAATGATTGTTATATTTTTAATTCTTGCATTTTCTCCCAATAATTGTTCAAACGTTTGACAATTCTTATTTATAACGTTAGCGTATATAATTCAAGATACAATAAATCATGAAAAATAGAAAAAAAGCAATTCGATTTTTATCACTGCAATTAAAAAATTAAGGAAAAATTGGAGAATTATTAAAATTATTATTAATTTAAAAGTGCAATCTTCGTAAAATCATCTAAAAAATATATTACACTTTTTAAAAAATAATTATACATGATCCTTTAAAAAAGCCGAAAATTTATGGAAAAGCTTTATAATTGAAAAACTCTCGACTACAAGAGAACGCGATGGATTATATTGCGTTACTATTTTATTGAAAAAATCATTTACTGAAAAAACGAGACTTAATAAAAACTATATATAGATTGATGATGTATATATATTTAATAGTAATATTGAATGGAAACAACGATGTCTTATATAAAAAAAAAGTGGAAGAAAACCTGCTTAAAGTTTGCTCATGATTACTGAAAAAATATAATTTTCAACAATGAAGATAGTAAGTAGAATTATTATTTTTACGATACGAGAAAAGAAGAAAAATATTTAGATGATATTGTAACAGTACTAAATGAAAATTAAAATGAAATTATAAAGTTATATAAATAACCGTGGATATATCGAATTAACAGAAACATGATTTGACGAGTTATGTGGTTACTAAAACAAAAATATTATTAATAAATAAATAAATAAATGTTTTTCAGTGGAATAATGTACTATACTGTACATAATAAAATCGATTCAATAATTTTTTTATTTTTAAGAAAAAGATTATTAAAAATTGATTTCTATTAAAATGGAAATGAAAAAAAACATGATATAAAATAATTTCAAAATATTTATTAGATATCGTTCAATGTAAAAGTTTCTTAGCAAATATTAATATTTACTATATTCGATCAAATATATAAATTGCTAAAGCAATTTTTTAATCCCTTATCAATATCGTATTATTTTATATTTGAATCAAAATCTTATATTTAACATTTTTTTTAATATCTTTAACATCATAATATAAATAAATAAATGAATATACAACATATAAGATGTATATATTTATTTTGTGTCAATTTAAAGTTCATTATTAATCTTATTAATCAAAAGATATATCTAATATGTAATAAATGTGTAAAATGTATAATTTTTTCTTTTAATTATAATATAAAATATATTCAAGTGCAACAAGTATCCTATTTTATTCAGCACTATAATAATTAGATGTAAGATAATTTATATTTTCAACCACTTATATTATATGAATTTAAAGAATTATATATATATTTCATGTTATAGTGAATCATACATACAATCCTATACATACAAACAAATTCTTAATTTAATAATTAATGCAATTTCATTTTTAGCTTACATGAGAACAAGTCGTTAAGACAGCGAGGTCTCGACGATCTTCAGCGATTCAAGTTCAAGGTTTCTCTCGTGCAGTACACTCATCGTGATCCTCGGCTATGTCACCGGAAATCCACGTGCTCCTGGGAAATTACAGGCATACTTCCCCATGTTATACACTTGATTCAGATTTAATTCGCTCCGCTCTTCTTGCTTTTTAACTATCGATAGTGTCAAAACGAATAATCGATAAATTAACCTCGTTTAACGATAAATTAATCTCGATGGGTGTCTGCTCTTTCGAGAAAGAGAGAGAGAGAGAGAGAGAAAAAGAGAAAACCGTTATGGACTTAACGATGATGAATTATCGTTAAGAAAACATCATACTAAAGGAAAAAAAAAAATATTAAAGGAAGGAAGATTCGATCAATGGCTTGTCGATCAATTTTCGGCAATATGATACCAATGACCCAATTTGCTCGGATAAAACCACCTCTCGATAAGTCGTTCGATGTTTCTAAATGCTTTCTATATGTTTTCAAATACTGACGAAATTCGTGTAATAGACAAATTAGCCGATTGGATAAAGTAGGTTGGAAAAATAGAGGAACAAAATCCGCCAACTTTTCGTAATGATTTAAAGATAAAATTTGCCTATTGTTCGGAAATCGTCCTGCGTTTTTCTCCGTTGGCTTTTTATTTCCCACGGACGAGAGACAGGAAGAGCGGAGAATAGAGAACGAGCAGATAAACAAGCAAAAACAAGAAAAAAATCGAAGACCAACGAGACGCATTATGTGGAAATCTGTGGAACAGTATTGTGACACTCGCGATTAAAAAAAACGATTTCTTATCGAATGAATTTCAATAGAGTATCTTTCAATAAATTTTAAGGCAATTATTCATTTTTATAAATCATATAACGCAAATTATCGATCAAATCATACGAACGTGCATCCAAGTTTTTATAATAACTTTCTTCATAAGGAAAATATAATAAAGAAAACGAAACAGTATAATCGATCGTTGATTCAAAATCCATTATCAAATATACGAATCTGCTCGATCAATTTAAAAGTCGACGATTTTGCTTGCAGTGGTAACAAAGGAAAAAAAGAAAAAAAAACTTTCGAAATACTTTGTATGAGAATAAGAAGCAAAGTAGTATCGGTTTTCCTCGACCGCGGGAAAAGTTTTTCCTCGACTCGTTTTGGATTATCGATTCGACTCTTTTATTTGCGACTTTCAAGAGAGCAACAGAAAAAGACTAATTTACGTCGATTTAGGTCGCGGCATATCGATTGATTCGTAATTCTTCTGATCAACAGAGTAATGGACCGGTATTATCCATGTAATCGTCTCCTTTGCCAGAATATTTCGCGTGTCCCGCCTTCGCCTGCCGTTGGAATTATTGATTCTGGCACTAAACCGAACCTCGATGGTCTTCAATTTCCTTTTTCCGGGTGAAGGACGAAATTTAGAGATCCATTGGCAGGCATAAGTAGACACGATGACGTCTATGCGAGGTCGATATTTCTTTATTTCAATCTCGAGATGATAAATGAAAATTCACATTTTCAACGTTTTGCCAGGAGGAATGAAACCATATCAGTAAGAATTTCCATCGTTATTGACAAGTGACACTGACAAATATATCGAGCAGTCTCAAATTTGAAGTGAACTATATCATCGAGTAACCTAACCTTCAAATCTATTACGAATAAACCGATCTTGCAAGAAACGTTCCCCCAAAAAACTCTTAAAATATCTTTCAATAATTCATTTCGCCCTTCACACGTCTGACTCCATCACGAATAATCACCTCATTTCGTAGCAATAAGTTCAACAAGTCACTATCTAGGGAGATTGTTCGATGTTTCACCACTCACATGGATAAACGAACCGTTCCAACTGGAAACGAAAGCACAAATCAAATCCGACGAAGAGCGCGTTGAAGTATGACGAAAGTCACGCGACGAGCAAGCAAGTAAGCAAGTTTTGTCTTTGAATAAGGGAAACTCGCAAACGAACACACGCGCGAACGTACGCTTTGCGACTGAGTTTGATATCCTCCTAGAGGATAGCCCGCGGAGAGGAGAGCTCTACCCCCACTCGGGTTGGTTAGGAGAACGCATCGATGGACAGGCGAAGGGTGCACGGGTGAAAGAGGGGGTGTACTCGGCCTCTCTATAAACTGACATAACGGTAGTGCGCATGCGTTCAATGATCGTGTGCACGCTTTACCCGCAAAGTGGCAACCGGTGGCACCGGTGCCACCGGCCACCTCCACGTCTATTTACGTTGACGACGCACCGTGTCACACGTTGATCGGACCGGCCGGGAACGAACCACTTGCACACACCACGCCGCATCATCCTCGAGGACGAGCAACCCCCCTCGTTAACGACCGACGCTCTATTCTTCATCGTGCTTCATATATTCCTTTTTTGTTCTCTTTTCTTCTTCTTTTCTACGTTCATTTCATAAATCGATTCACACTTTACCGACTGGGCTTCGTTTCGTTCCAGTTCATATCAAGTATGTATATATTTTTTTACGTTTGGATTAACTAAGATTTTTTTATTGATAAAATGAATTCTTTAGAAATTTATTTTTTTTTTTCTTTTTTTTTTTTATGTATAATACTTACGTGATACTTTAGTCGTGCATTAATATTTTTTTTTTATATCGTTAAAAAGATAATGACTAAAGTAGTACTTGTGTACATTGTAACACGATCGAAATAGAATTTATTGTGTTAAATTTGGAATCCTTTTGTGCTCGTAACGAATCGAGCGTTATGATAAAATTTACTAATTTGTTTACTTATGTATTCATAATTATATATTTACGAAACAATAATTGTCAGATTTTTTGATTGTTTTTATTTATTGACATTTTTGTTATACTATAAAAAAAAAGTTTGAAATTATATACAATCTTTTGCACTTTAAAACGATTAAAAATAGAAATTATATTTTTATAAAATAGAAATAAATTATTTCTACGAATATAAACTTGCTTAATATATTATAACCTTTTATAAGATATTTCAATCGTTGTTATGAAAATTATATTTATAATATATGAATAAAATTTTGAAATATGGTAAGAATAAAATTAATATAATAAATAATAATATACAATAAATTAACGTAACATAAGTAAAAATATTAATATATGCTTGAATAATAGTATATCAGGATAATATTTTATAATATAATAAAAATATAAATTGAATATAATAATATTTTATAATAAAAATAAAACATTAATATATGAATATTTGTATATGTACAATGTATTATAAGAGCTTTAATAGATTGAAATTCGAAAATAAACCGTATAAATATTGCCTAATAAATTTTCTCGTATATTATAATAGTCATTTATTTATTTATTTTCATACCAATATAAGCAAATAATAATTCAGAAATTATTCTTGAGAGTTTAACTCACAAAGTCTTAATCATATTCTATAAGATTAAGTCATTTCACTGCTGAAACAATTCATTTTTACGACTATCATAACATACTTATATAATAATCTTCCTTCATTATATATAACTTACATAATAATAATAATATATAACTTACATAATAATAGCTCCATAAATAATAGTTTTTTATAAATTCATTTATCTTATTTTATGTTCCCAAATTATACAAAAAAAAACCAACATATATCTATACATAAAATAAATTAATATTGTAATATCAAGTAAATCGTAACTCAAAAACAATGTCACATATCAGTTATATACGGTGTTCATATATTTATGGAACACCTTTGGATCGATTCCTAACTTAAAACAGATACAAAACTTGATGTACAAAAATATCAATCGAGATTTATTTATTAAATTACAAGCAATTTAACTTCGTCTCACTTTCTTTTCATTTGGTTTCGTCTAATACCAAATAATTAAATTGCTCATAACTTAATAAATAACTTAAGTCGATATTTTTCTATTTCTGTTCTATTTAACTCTCCAATTTTTATATTTATTTCAATCTTTCTTTAGAATTGATCCTTTAATGGTGCATCGATATCCTCAATATTTCCATAAAACTTTCAAAAATTGTAAAGAAATCTTACCTTTTATACAAATTGCATAATTGCATAATTCTTATTTCCCTTCTCTCCGAGTTCTTCAGAACCGCATCACAGCTACAATTATTGCACTCTATACATTTCATATTCTCCCCTCCCCTTAAAAAGATCACTTTAAAAGAATCTAGTCTAATAACCAGTGGTGGGGGAAAGCTTGTGCGCCAAAGCTCACGGAAGAACGGGCGCGTATATCGGCACGTCCCGAGGTACAAAACCGCGACACGAGGCAACGAATTAATCGTCGTAGCAAACGGGCCATTCGATAAACAAGAAACACGATGTAGAACAGCACTCTAAGCTCCCGAGAGAACGGGAAAATTTAAGGTAACGTTAGCCCGCAAATTTAAGGCGACCACATCGCCGTCTCGCTAACTATACCCGGTGTGTCGGTGTGTGTATTTATGGGAAGGATGCATCGTCACGTTAATCGAACCATACCGCGAGCCGATACACGCGTGCGGCAAGAGCCCGGCCAGTCTTTACTTGTCGAGTAACGAGCTGACTGCGCCTCGCGCTTCCACAATTCTTTTTTCAATGCTCCTCGATCGATAAACCAATCGATCGGTAAATATACATCGAATGAATATATATATATATATATATATATATATG